ATCCAAAATTTTCAGCTACAAACAGCAATGACGGATCCAGAAAGAGGTGGCTCAAGTAACATGGATAACGCTGATCAAGGTGATGACAGCACATTTTTTTAGAGAATAGATGTGAACTAATAGTTGTCTCCTATTATATATATATATATATATATATATATATATATAGTGTTCTGCTATGCTAGTTTATCTTAATTGCTTGATGATGTTTGGTAAAGGTTTCATTTTATCAATCGTTTATGCTGAATATATGAACTAGAACATGAATGAACTCTGGATGACAATCAATAATGAAGCAACTAGTTCCTCTGATGCATTTAGTCTTTTATATTTTTTGGTGTTTCAGCAGATAAAATCAAGGACAATAGTAAAGAAGGAACCAAAAAAACTGCAGAAGTGCCTGTAATAAATGATGCATCCACTTTGTCTTGTGTTCAAGCTGAAGGTTCACCAAGTATTCGCGAATGGAAACGTTTGGAGAAAGATCTATACTTGAAGGGACTAGAGATGTTCGGAAGGAACAGGTATGACGATCTCAGTACCCCTCATATAGGAGCCAAATGCTTAATTTAGATGGGCTTCTTGTTCATATTCACTTGAAAACTTTTGTGATTGAATAAAATCTTGAGATTAGTGATATGTGTGAATGGTTTATCGCCATTCAGCCGTTGTTGATACGCAAGTTATTAAACTGTTGCTTAAACTTTTTACTAACGTTATGACTTGCAGCTGCCTCATAACAAGGAACCTACTTTCTGGATTGAGAACCTGTATCGAAGTATACAATTATATGCATGATGTGTCTTCATCTTATGCATCAGATGTCGATAGGGAAACTGATGTAGGTCATAAGGTTTGTTTTCTGCTTTCTGTTGGTTCTTCAACCCATGCATAAAGGTTAAAATGATTTTAATTTCTTTGTATAAACAATACTAAGTTTGCTTTTTGTTGTATGTTCTGTTAGGAGAAAGAAATGGTATCAAGAACAGAATTAGTTGGGCGAAAGGGTAAAGCAAAGAAACAAAAACTTTCATTGACGCCTTCTGGACGTGCATCGGCAAGACGAATTGCTGGGAAACACCCGTTGGGGAAGAATTATACTCCATGTAAATGCAGTCCTATGTGTGGAAAGGACTGCCCCTGCCTAAAAAATTCTACTTGCTGTGAAAAGTATTGCGGGTATGTTTAACATTACCGAGCATTATATTTTAAGTCTAGGAATGCATCTGAATCAAAATATATATGTAGATTGTATGTCTTGTCTTACGTGCTGTTTTCTTTCAGTTGAGAAATGTTTACGATGATGATGTGTGTTTAGGTGCTCAAAAAGGTGCAAAAATCGGTTTAGGGGATGCCAATGTGCAGCGGGTCAATGCAGAAGCCAGCAATGCCCGTGCGTTGCTGCTGGACGAGAATGCGACCCAGATATCTGCGGTAATTGTTGGGTCAGGTAATCTGTTCTCCACATAACATGGATTCTCGTTTTCTATTTTTTTTTATAAGCTCATTATTCCATTCGTGGCGTGGTTAAGAAGGGAACTTAAATTTGCAATGTCCTTGTATATCATACATAAATGCTAATTTTGTAGATTGATCTGCGTGGTTGGTGTTTTATTGATTTGCAGTTGTGGTGATGGGTCATCAGGCGAGCCCCCCAAAAGTGGTGAAGGTCCATGTGGTAACATGAAGCTGCTTCTAAGGCAGAAGCGAAGGGTGAGCTACATATCTTATCCTAATTACTAATCAATTAACACTCGTATAATAATATATGATATGCATGGAAACATTTTGATGATCCTCAGATTTTGTTTGGAAAATCCGATGTTGCTGGTTGGGGAGCATTTGTACAGGTACCAGTCGATCTATATATGCAGGAGTTCCAATCATTATATATATATATATATATATGTATGTATGGATTGTTGGTTGAATCAGAAATATGTAATGGTGGGTTGGTGTTTTTAGAGTGCTGCAAAAAAGGATGAGTATCTTGGAGAGTACACGGGGGAATTGATCTCTCATGAAGAAGCAGATATACGAGGCAAATATTACGATCGTGCAAACAAATCTTTCCTTTTTAATTTGAATGAAGAGGCAAGCAACCTCTTCTCTTCTTGTATTCATTATTATATTCATTTTCATTTTCATTATTTTTAATTTAAAATCTGTAATTATATATATATATATATATATATATATATATACATATATGGAGCATCATGTGAGAAACAAACTAATTTCTTTTAAATTAAATTATCTAAAACCTAATCAATCTTTTATGTAAATAAATTATACTAAAAGAACGAGAATTTCATTATCTTTAATTTAATATTCTTAATTATATATTGGGAGAATCATGCGAGAAGACAAGAACGAATATGAATCACATAATATATCAACAAAAAAATACCATAAATAAAAAACAATTTTAAAAATTAGAGTAATTATCATTTTGAATTGGATAAATCCTTAAAAATCTTATTATATCTTTTAAATTTATTTATTATTTATTTTTAGTTGATTCATAATTTTCTTTGTCAAGTTCTATATAAATTTTTTTTTCGAGATAGATTTTTGATAATAATAATAAAAAAGGTCAGAATTTTCATCAAATATTAAATGTGATATTCACAATCAATCATATATCCAAACATTATATATATATATATATATATATATATATATAATAATGAGATAAGAAGAAACCAATGAATATGTATATGATTGTTTGTGAAAAAACTTTTGATGATATAACAAATGTGGATGTATACATTTTTTGATTATTAAGTAACGTTGTTGAACTAGGTTTGTTTGATGTCAAATAAAAACAATTAAAGTTTATTTGATAAAAGTTTTAGCATGATATATCGTTTAAAGGTGAAATTGATATTTATATATATGTATATATTATCTTAAAAAATCAAAATGGGGATCTCCATTCCTCAGTGGATAATGATATTGAGGCCCCGTTGCCATCTTTATTAGGGAGAATGTTAGAAATAAGTAAGGATGGAGCTAAGTACTCACTCTCGTGCATTGTTTGTTCTCAAGATTTTGCTTTTGGTGTTGAATTGTGTTTGGATCTTGGACTTGAAACGTTGCAAGACTTTACCTACTTGTGACTTTTTCCCCTTCATTAAGTAGAGCCAAGCAAGCAAGTCTAGTGTGATTATCCATCTATCAATGATGTCAACCATCTAAGGCGCAATCATATTTTTGACTCTTGAAGGGCCCCACACATCACTATACATAAGAATAAAAGATGCTTTGTATAGGATCGGTGAAATAGACTAGATAGAAATGATTGTTGGAAATAAGTAGTGGGCAATTATAGAAAAGGCAGCTACAAAACCGATGTAATTCCCATCTGAAAGTTGAAGCATCATTAGCTAGTTGAACGCTCAAGCATCCATTTGTTAGTTAAACATTAGTGGCAAACCATTAGCTAGCTGAACGCCGAAATATGCATTTGCTAGCTGAACATACTAGCAACTATCTAAGTCATCAGTGTTTATAAACACTGAAGAAATCAACTATAATGATACTTTGAAACTCAAATCAACTTTATCATATGCAATGCAGTTGGTGCTAGATGCTTGTCGAGCTGGAAATAAGCTGAAGTTTGCTAATCATTCGTCTAAGCCTAATTGCTATGCTAAGGTATGTTCTTTTTGTCCAATCCCACTTCACTTTCCCAATACATCTCCTGCCTGAACAAGTTAGCATGTGCAGATAACGAAAGTCGGAGGCGATCATCGTGTAGCTATATTTGCCAAAGAAAATCTTGAAGCGGGGCAAGAGATCTTTTACGATTACTCTTATAAACCTGAACAGACACCTGCATGGGCTCAAGAACCCGATGGTTAAGACGACTTTTTCCCATGTAATCCGTCAATCTCAACAAAACAGTCTTTTTCTAGTATATCCTTAGCTGTAGGGATATGGGCATCCACCCATCTAGGGGTTTGAGATGTTTTTAAGGTGATGTTTTGATATAACTAGTTATGGTTTAAGAAGAATACATGTATTCATGCTTATCGACATGATTTATATGCGATACAAAAGATACCTATAACAGCTATGTGGTCGCTTATGAGCTATTTGCAGTCACATTATTGGATGATTGTTTTTATTACTTGCTTTTCAGACTAAAATACTGGAAATAAATTTCGTTCTTGTCATGCATAGAATTTGTGTTCACTTATGGTAATCCTTGTTTATTTACCATACCATTTGTGGCTTTGTGAGGTTATACATTGCCACATGAAACCAACTCTACTTGTCCACGGTTCATTTGACCTAGTCGGGAATAGGATTGGCTACATTTTCAGGTCTCAGATCCCAGGACGAGATACACTACCAATGGAGATACACACGTGCAACGAGTTCAAATGAAAACAACATAAAAGGTCGAGAAGAAGGAGAATAGATCTCAATTGTCAGATGAGACGGATGTAATTAGAAAGATGACTACAACCACCTTTCTTTAAAACACAATGAAGGTTAAGGTTTTCCTTCGCAGTGTTCAGCTATGAAGGTTGTGTCTTATTTATGTGGTCTCAGGTCTCACAAAAACAGCATGGTCTCACTGATCCCAATTCTAGAATTAACGTTTATAATTATTCCATCCTTTTAAAAGGAAGATTTGCAATTTAGGATTACTGATTTGAAACTACTTATATACTTGAGCAAACATTTTAGTTGTTCATTCAAAATTTACAGAGTTTGTTAGAGATATGTTTAAATGAAGTCTATAACAATATACTTAATTAAACTTGTCTTTTGTCGATGATGGACCTGGGATCGGGGGACGGGACCATATTTGAAAGCCTGTCAAGTAAGAGAATCCGGGTGGGGACCACTAAACCTGGCTCAACCCTGCCCAACTTTCCATACCTACTTGGAAGTAGGGGTGTAAACGAGCCGAGTTGAGTAGCAGGTTATTCGAGCTCACCTTGAAAAAGTTAATATTAGGCTCAAGCTCGACTTTACAAACTGAATTGACTAGACAAATTTTCCCAATTATGTAGTGTTGCAAATATGTGACAGCAAGTTTGAAAAAAAAAATATTGATTCACTGCATATAACTGTTTCTAACCTTAGATTGCAGATGAACATACAAGAACTGATTCCAGATATCTGGAACTCCAGGTAAGCACCAATGGCTGCAATCTTCACCTCTCACGGTACTACCCCTCCTCCTTCCATAAATTGATGGGTGACCATCTATTCTGTAATCTGACAAACTAGTTATGTTTAAGATCTTGACAGGAGTTTTCATCTGCTGTATTACCTCTTCAACAATGGCATTCTTTGCTGGATAGATGCTGCTTGCAGTTCGATTGAGGGGTTGAGAAGCTTCTTTACAATGACCGCCCGCATTCCATTCCCCTCCCGCGAAATGGGAAGGTGCAGAACTTCGAAAAACAACTTGTGTTTTTCTTGGATTTATGTATTCATCAACCCATGATGCCCAAGTTATCATAGATTTCTTGAAAGCTGTTGACACCTCAAGATGAGGTACAACAGTGTCTCCTTCCTGATAGTAATTCACCCTGTTACAGTTTTTGTAAATGTTACAAATGACTCAAAATCTAACATTATCAAGTGTATGCACTCAAGGGAAAACGAAACTTGAACTCATGACTTCCCAGATTATCACCTAAACAGAAACCGGATGCCATCAAGCTACAGACTTGATGGTGTTTCCCAATCTTATGGATCGAACTGATGGGTTTTTCTTCATTTCAAACAAATATGGAAACCAAATTTATTAAGGAAAGGTTACAGATAGCATGAGAGTTCGGATGGTGTGAACTCACCCAGATTTGGTTTTGTAATGGCTCCACCAATGTGCGGTGTTGAAGATCAAGACATCAGCTCCTTTCCATCTAGATGAGCCTTTATCGACAGTATCAATTCGCAAGGTCTGCAAGCGTTTCTTGCCAACTCTTGCCTTGCCTTCACGAACCAAGAAATGGGAGACATAGTATTCAACTGTACACTTGTAATCCTGTGAGAAAGTAAGCAAATAATAAGGGCATACCGAATTTACATTAAAAATCTGCAAATTTTACACAATTGGTACAGGATACAGTTGGGAAGGAAAGCATTACCACAAATTTGAAACAATAGTTTCCCTTGTCTTTGGTTATCCTGCGTCCATGAACCTCATAGACCCTCTTTGGATCCTTTATGGCAGTAATTAACAAACATAGCATGGATTCCCATTGATTCCTATTGATTGAATCACCCACGAACACTAGTCTTTTTCCTTTGATCAATTCCAGCATGTTTGTTGCATTGAACCTATATAGAACCAAATCATCCAAAATCAGACGCTAAACACAAAGTTTTATTGTTAATCAGTGTTTTAAGACAAGGGTTTGCAAGAATCAAGACAAATCATTTTTCTAGTGAAAAGGGTTTGCAAGAATAAGCATAAAAAGAAAAAAAATTGACCTTGGAATGTCACAATCTTGAGGCTTCCACCTCCACTTCATATAATCTTTGTCCAATCTCCCATTGGCCTCACAATTGAAAGCTTCATCTATAAAAGGGCATGCAAAAGCAGAGTAGAGAGGGTAACTCTCATCAAAAACCCATCTCCCTTTTGTAACATCACAAGCTTTTTCATCCTTTTCTTCCTGAATCTTGTGAATCCCTCGACTTAATGGAACTTTTGGTTTTAAACGCCATCTTTCAGAGACTGAATCCTTGGAGTTATTTTGAGGATTCGAGTGATTCAAAGCTATCAAACCTGATATGTTCACTTTCCTAAACAAACTATTGACATCAAAACCAGAAAAGTTGGTACCATTTACAGCTTCAATCTTGTGTGAAACCAGATTTGGCAGTTGACTCCCACTTGATTTTTTCTGAAACCCATCAAAACTGAAGGAAATGTTGGGAGTTTGTGATGTATTTAAGAGTTTACCAAAAAGGGTATGATTCAGATTTACCACAGTTGCTGCCACTAAACGTGTTGACGAGTTCTGAGTGGGGGAGTTGCGAACAGAAGTGAGGGAGGAGGATTGAATCTCACTGAACTGGAAACGAGTTTCTTGATTGATGAATAAAGGGTCAGTTTTGAAAACCCAAATGGAGAAAAAGGTAAGAAAGATAATGGAGAAAGAGACTGTCAAATAGAACACAAAGAATCTTGTGCGTTTAAAGGAGAAACTTGTCTGTCTCTCCATGGAGATTGTAGCAGGGAAACAGCGAGAGGTTGAAGAACAGTGCACATGGAGTATGAAGATGGGAGAAAAGAAATTGAAAATAAAAGCAAAGGAACCGACAGTGACAGTGAAGGGAAGCAAAAAATAAGCGTAGTGGTTCGAATATGATCCAATTTTCAAATGCTTGCTTCGATTAGGGAAAGCGTGCGTCATAAAAATTGGTCTGGAATTTGTGACCATGGTGCTCTAGAAATGGTGACTGTTTCATAACTCCAGGTTTGGCTCAATTATCATTTTGTTTGAACAGATGTAAATAACTTTTCTTTAATAAATGTGTGATTAGTCGGTAAAGATAATAAACAGCAAAATTACTGAAAAATTCATTATGCATATATTCGTCTATCTTATTATTCTTTTGAGTCAAAGTTTTTGGTATGATAAGGATCACGGGCTACTTTGCTTGTAAGGTTACATGTTCTCTAAATCTAATTATTTTAATTAACTCATTATAACTATTTACTATAAATAATATTATCTGATATTATTATTTCGTGGAGTAAGTTACATTTTCAGTTGTCACTCACTATCAACTCTAGTTTTTATCTTAAACTAAGTAATATGAGTACTTTGGTTAATGATCTGAATATTGTCTGTATAAATATATGTTAGTGTTTAATAGAATCATCAACAAATATATTTAATTAATTCGAAAAAAACTAATAAAATCTAATTAGTGAAATTTTGATATATATATATAGAGAGAGAGAGAGAGAGATTTGTTTAAGAATAAAGTTATAAAATTAAATAAAATGAATAATAGTAACAACAGAGGTGTGGATAACTTATGCATTTTTTGTCTGATTTATGATGAAGTTTATTTCTTTTTAAAAAGAGGATGATGCCTCTACCGATTTTTATTAAAAAATAAATAAGTATACGTCTAAATCATACGGTAACTAATTATATGTACAAAAAATGCGGTAAATAAAAACTTAGTCTATAAATAATATGTTAGGATATTAACCGATTATTAATACATATAAATTACTATAAATAGTAATTCATTGTTAAAAGATGAATGATGTCTACAAATAACAAAAACAAATACTTCGTCCGTCTCAAAATAAGTATTCATGTTTCTATTTTAGTTTGTCCCAAAGTAACTATTCACTTTCAAAAAATAATGTCTACTTTTCAACTCTAGTCTTAATTATGAGAGAATTTATCAATCTCTCAATTATGAATGATAAAATTGTCATTTAGTTAATGGCAAATTGCATGAAAAAATAACGTATTTTAACTTGATTCCTATTTTGGATAACATATTTTAAAAACTTCTATTTTGGTACCTAAGATGTAAAGTTTTGAACATTTAAGTACTTGGGTAACCGATTGAAACATTAATCGATTATCATGTTGATGTGGCGAGTAATGTGGTATCTGGTTAATGCTTCAACAAATAATATTGAGTTGATACCACATCACTCACCACATCAGCATGGTAACCGTTTAATGATTCAACTGGTTACCCGGGAATTTAAATGTTTAAAACTTTACATCTTAAATACCAAAATTGAAGTTTTAGAAATACATTACCAAAATAGGAATCAAGTTAAAATACTTTATTTTTTCATACAATTTGCCCTTTAATTAATTAAAGAGTGTAACTATTACACATTTATAAAATTATAGATATGTATTTTGGGACTTAAACATGCATTAATAAATAAATATTTTTATATACTAATCAATAAATTTTATCTACTATCATTAATATTCTAATTATTATATTGATGATATATATATATATATATATATTACATCGAGAGAGAGGTTGTATTTTGTAAGTTCGAAGTCAATGTAAATTAATAAATATTGATCAATTAATATTATTTATCGTCACTAAATTTTAAATTATTGAGAGATAAATGAAAAGATTGATATAATGCAAATTAAAAAAGTAAAATAAATTGATTATA